CCAGAAGAAGGTATCGTTACCGTAGGATATGATAGCTCTGTGTATGTTATTGCCCCTGAAGACATATCAATGAGACAAGATGTAGAAGACAGTGATGATGATCTTAACAAATAATGTTTAAAAATTAAAAAAAAAAAGAAAAATATAAGAAAGCTTATAGAATAAAGAAAAATCTGTACAGCTGTACAATGTGTTCATGTTTTAAGCTAAAAGTTATTGAGTCAAAAAGTGAAAAATATTAAAATTACAAAGTAAAAAGTTACAGTAAGCAGCTGTTAACTTATTTAAGAAAAAAATTTAAAATAAATTAGTGTAACTTAAGTGTACATGTTGCTAAAATCTACAGTAATGTACAATAATGTCCAGGCCTTCACATTCATTCACCATTCACTCCCTGACTCCCCCAGAGCAGTTTCTAGTCCTCCAAGCTCCATTCATGGTAATGCCCTAGGCAGGTGTACCATTTTTTACCTTTTACATTGCATTTTTACTGTAGCTTTTCTGTGTTTTGATGTGCAAATCCCATTGCGTTACAATTACCTACACTATTCAGTGTAGTAACATGCTGTACAAGTTTGTAGCCTAGAACAACAGGCTATACCACGTAGCTAAGGTGTGTAGTAGGCTATACTATCCGGGTTTAGGTAAATACACTCTAAGCTGTTTGTGCAATGACAAAATCACCTAACGGCATTTCTCAAAACATATCCCCATTGTTAAGTGAGAAATGAATGTAATATAACAACTCTGGAAAAGGGTTTGACAGTTTTATAAGGCTAAACTGACACCTACTCTACGACCTTGTAATTCCACTCCTAGGTGTTTATCCAAAAGAAATGATGGTATATATCCACATAAACACTTGTCTATGAATGTTTACAGCACCTTTATTAAAAATAATTAAAAACTGAAAACAAGTGCAATATTGAAAATTGGTGAACAGATACAAAATCTGTTGCATAGCTATAAAATAGATTACTAATAAGAAAAAAACTATAGATACAGGCAATAACACAAGCATTTCAAAATATCATGCTAAATAAAATGAGCCAGGCACAAAAAACTACATTCTGTATTATTCCTGTTTATGAAATTCTTGAATAAGCTAAATTTAACTTATAGTGACAAAAAGAAGATTATAAGTAGCCTGTAGTGGAGAAGGGGAGGGGACTGATTACAAAGTGACATAAGGAAACTTTTTGGGTGATGAAAATGTTTTTATATATGAATTGAGGTCGTAATTATACTGATGCATATATCTGTCAAAATTCACTGAATACTCTTAAAATGTATGTAGTTTATGTTTATGTAAATTATACCACAATAATATCAATTTAAAAAGCTGAGAACAAACACACAAGAACAAATACGTATTTCATAAGTTAACTTTAAATCCAATATTGGTCTTTAACAATTAAAAGTCATTATTCATGATTTTAATATTTTCTGATTTCCCAACATAATACATAAACCCCTTACCACTACTATATTTAGAAGATCTCCATAATCATTCAGTATAATAGGAAAGCCATTTCAGCTATAAAGCTATTTTCCCCCAGAATATAGCACTGAATTACCAAAAAGGTAAATATTTTTGTCATTCCCCTCTCCCAGTTAAATATAAAGACTGTTTTATACATAAGCCTTGCTATTTACTATGATAAACATTTCCACCTTACATTTCTCCCCCTTTTATTAACAAGAAGAGATAACTATTAAACAAAATCAGAATATAACCATTCTTTATTTAAAATTTCTTTCTTCAAAACTAATGACTTCTCTCAGAATGAGAATGAATAATTTCACAGAAAAAAAGAAACTGAAAAGACTTTATGTTAATAAATTTCAATATTTAAGCCAATTAAAAATTTCCTACAAAATATTACCCAATTAATAAAGAAGAAATAGAAAGCAAGAATCATCCTATAGGCACTAAATTCATAAATAAACAGTCAAAAATATTTCTACCTCAGGCTTACATGACTTCACCTACAAGTTCAGCCAAATATTCAAGAAAGAAGTAATTCCATATTACACAAATTTTTCCACATCAAAGGAGGAAAGAACTCCTTAACTTGATTTACAAAGCTAACATATCCATGATATAAAAACTTGATATGGACAATGCAAAAAAGGAAAAGATTACAGGACAATGTTATTCATAAAGACAGATGAAAAAATCCTAAACAAAACAGTAGCAAGTTGATTTTAACAACATATAAGGAAAGTAAATCTTGACCAAGTTGGGCTTATTCCAGTGAATGTAAGGTTGGTTTAATATTAGGTAAAAACAATTTATTTTAACTACTAGACCAATATTTGAAAGAAAAACATTACATCATGTTAAATAGGTATAAAAAAAAGCAATAATATACTTTAGCATTCATTTATGGTAAGAATTCTCAGCACATTGAGAACTGAAGGAAACTTCCTTATAAAGGTAGGTATCTACAAAACTCTTACAGCAGACATACTTAATGACAACCTATTTAAAAGCTTTCCCTTTGGTGAGGAACAAGTCAAGGTAACCAGATACCACAACTTTTATTTAATAGTACAGCAGACATTCTGGCCATCAAAATAAGGCAAATGAATAAACGATATAAAGGTGTAAGTACTGAAAAACCAGACATTAAACGTTAATTATTTGTGGATGATTTAAGTGTGTACATACAAATACAAGGAATGCAGAAATGAATAATTAAAATAAGAGAGTTTAGCAAGACTGTTGGATTAAAAATGAGGATAATATATAATGGATTCCTCAAGGACTACCTAGATACCTTTTTCTTATTTAGAAAAATATATTTATTAGTTAACTTGAAAAGTTAATATACACATGTGGTAAAAATTCAAACAGTAGAAAAGAATAGGGGAAAACTGAGTCTCTCTCATCTCCCTGTTAGGAAGTCAACTATTTTCAGGTGTGAAGTCTTTCTAGGTAAATTATTATTATTAATGTAAACCTGAATTGTGTGATAGATGAAATACATCTTTGGGGCTTTCTCAAAATGTACTGAGTCGAAAGTTTTCTATTTGGTGATTATATCCTCCCTTTATCTTTTTTTTTTTTTCTGTTTCAGATTTAACAAATAATCCTATATCCAACTTGAGACTCCATTCTGTTTTAAGTGGCAAGCCAAATTTCATATTCAATTCTAAGCCTCTTCATCACCTAAGAGAGGTCTGTAGGCTTCTCTTAAAGAAAAAAACAATTTTACAGGGTTTTCTATTTTCATAGACATGCCATAACTGGTTTTCAGGAGGAAATGGGCCAGAATTATATAAGACAATCTGTATCCCTAAAATCAAATTAACATGTGGACAAAACATAAATGCTATATATAGATAGCTAGACAGAGTGGCAGAGTAGATTACTGTGGGGAAAAAAGCCTAGTATATGATTTTTAAGCTTAGTTCCCCTTTCAAGTGGTAGAATACTATTAGTGACACAGAAAATGCAAAGTACACTGAAATACTATTCACATTTGTCCTCTAAAAGCAAAAACTGCAGCTGAAATGGCTAGTGAAATTATAAGCAGTTCTGCGCTAAACAATTTGTCCTATAAGCAGTGAATTTTCTTCTTAAAGTGTGCCCACTAAGTTTAAATTTTATGTTCATTTAAGTCCTTTAACAAGTATTTCGTTAAATGGAAATGGTAAATTATAGTATCTGCAAATACAGCTCCCTAAAGGGCACAGAACAGTGAGAAACATGTCTGAATTTAATATTCTTCCTCAAATAAATATAAAGAAGAAAATAAAAAGTTGAGGTAACTAGACTTCACACAAAGCAACTCGCAATCTGTACTATATCTGTCAATTCCTTAATATTCTCTCCATAGAGCCTCTTGTCTTATTTGGACACAGGCATTCTCTTTATGAACACAAATATGTTTTCTCATTGTCAGAAGAGAGAGGGTTAATTTGCAGTGATGATTTCATGTCACTGAATATAAAAGACCATACCTGCCTTAAGCTCTTTTTCATACCAAGATGATGAACATAAAAGAATGGGCTTTTCCTTCATTTTTTTTCCTCTTTGGGATGGGCTGTTACTGTTTGTAGTGCAACTGCATCCTGAAAACTAAAATAGCTTCTCTTCTCATGTAGGTGGTCATGGACTGTATGTATAGTCAAATCTGATTTTCACTCAAGATACTGCAGCCACAGAACAATTTCAAATAAATTTGCCCTTCTTTTCATGAGTGATCTACAGCTGCCTTATGAACATCCTCTCCCTTAACCTTTAGAAGAAATACAGATATAAGATATAGACAGTCTTAAAATTTTTCTTTGTTCAATGCTTTGTTAAGAGATACTGATACTATTCAATAGTCTAATTTCTTCACCAGTACTGACATTTTGTTACTTTATCCTACTGGGCCATTGTTGATTTCCTGGCATGCACAATCCTAAAAGCACTTTCTAATGCATCTTTAAAAATATCAGATTTCTTTTGTTTTTGGATCTCAGAGTTAAATATATTTCACTTATCTGATTCATCAGGAGAATCCCCCTATTGAATACAGTGACCTATTTATTCTAGACATAAATCTATGCTGCATTTGGGCACCAAGTTAGAGTCCATACAAAGATACTCAAACACAGGTTCCAATATCATCTTCAAAGGTTTTAAAATGCCATTTGTAAGCCTAATAGTTTCTTTTGGTTCCTGACCTTTCTTTCAGTATGTGGTCTTTCAAAGTTGACTTGGTAAAAATATATGTAAATATGTCTAAGAAAGAATGAACACAAAACTACAATCTATCAATAAAAGGTCTTGCTCTTTAAACTAAAATGTTAAGTAAGCCTTCCCTGCAATCTATAAAAAAATCAAAGGGGTTGAGTGTATTCGCTGTCTGAACTGTGTTGGCAAGGCAGACAATAAATGAACTTCGTGAATTTGAGATTTTCAGATCTGTGTCTCCTTTTACTATTACACACATACACACACACACACACACACACACACACAAACACTTACTTAAAAACCTGTATCATTACCACATAATTATTTATTGAGCACTATAGGTCAGTGACTTAGTTAAGAATTTTATATGGATTATTTCACTTAATCTGCATAGCAACCTAATGAGGATGATACTATTTTTATTCACAATTTACAAAGAAAAATAGTCTTAGACTTAATAACTTGTCCAAATTCATACACATAACTAAGAAACAGCAAAGCCAGGAAACAACTTGTGAAGATTGAGAAATACACCAATGCTGATCTGTATCATATTGACCCCGTAAGCTTTTCACATGCCTGGGCCCTATCTTGAATTTACTATAGCAGAATGGAAGGACGGAGAAAGGTGTCTTGGATGGTCATTTACTAGTACAAGAGAGCCTCAGTTCTCATACGTTATAAATATACATTACATTTCAAATCTCATAAACTTAGGTTCCTAAAAGCCTTGTTATACGCAAAATTTGGTCTTTTAGATATCTCTCTGTGAGTATGATTTCAAGTAATATCATCAGAAAAAAAGGCTTGGACACAGAACCAAATGGTAAACAGTGTTCCACAGTTAATATACATGGCATTGACAGGCCAAATTCCCACTCTCCTCCCAATCCACCTCCCTATACACAAACTTCCAATTTAAGATATGGGGAACTGGAATTTCTTCATCACAAGGAACACTTTCAAAATCAGTTAATCCCAAATTCTCCTCTTTCTTCTCCACTAGTGTCCTTGCTTAGAAAATCTTAAAATTGCTCATTAAAATGAAAAAAACAGTAAATTTCTAAAGGGCCTAGAAAAGTATAGCTACTCATTTGACAACTGTCTAACACAAAAACTGTTCAGGGTAAGAAATATGGGATTTTACTACCACAAACAAGGATCCTCATACAACTCGTTATAAATAAACCCAGGCTGGTCTTGAACTCTTGACCTCCGGTGATCCACCTACCTCAGCCTCCCAAACTGTTGAGATTACAGGCATGAACCCCTGTGCCACTGAAACCCTGTCGCTACTGAATATACAAAAGTTAGCCAGGCATGGCAGTGGGCAGCTCTAATTCCAGCAGGAGGCTGAGGTGGAGAATTGCTTGAACTCAGAAGACGGAGGTTGTAGTGAGCTGAGATCACGCCACTGTACTCCAATCTGGGTGACAGAGTGAGAGTCCATCTCAAAAAATTTAAAATAATAAATAAATCTAGCTGTGGCTGCTAAGTTGCAGAAGGCAGGGGGAGACAGGTGGGTGTAACCTCTCCCCACAACTAACAGCAAAACACAAACTATGAACAATCAAGATTTTAAATTCAGTACTAAGAAGGTAAACTTAGCAGCCAGCTTTCCTCTGCAAATGGTTATTTCTAAACTTTGATTACAGCCTTAAAAGATTACAAAAACTGGATTTTGAAAAAATCACTGTCTTAATGAGAAATACTTCATGGAAGCTATCTCTGATTAGCTCCTTCATATCGAATGACCTTTACTGGTAACCCTGAATTAGCTAAGCCAATGTGGCCCCTTAGAAGAATGTTTCTTTGTTCTTTTTTCTGGGATGGAGTCTCACTCCGTCACCCAGCCTAGAATGCAGTGGCATGATCTCAGCTCATTGCAATCTCCACCTCCCAGGTTCATGTCATTCTCCTGTCTCAGCCTGTCAAGTAGCTGGGATTATGGGTATTCTGCACCATGCTCGGCTAATTTTTGTGTTTTTAGTAGAGGTGGGGTTTCACCATCTTGGCCAGACTCGTCTTGAACTCCTGACATTCAGTGATCCACCTGCCTCAACTGGCGTTCCAAAGTGCTGGGATTACCAGGTGTGAGCCACCACACCCAGCAAGAGAAGAGTACTATTTCTACATGCATTCTACTTCCTGGTTGTAGGTTCCTTAAATAAGCAAATAATAGCAATTTTCAAAACTTGTAAGATACCCCCAAAAACCAGTTCAGATGGATAAAGAGGTAACATTACTTGGTTATCCATTTAAAAAATAATCTAGTACCCATAACCAGCAGAGATACTGAATAAAATGGCAAGGAAAGCAACATTTAGAGTGGCAGTTTTAAAGGTTGTATGGAGGGGAACGATCAGACTTAGCCAGCTGTCCTAAGCCAGACAGAGACCTCCATATGTTTATGTAGGATTGCTGCAATCTGTAGACAAAAGATTTTTTCATTTGTCCACATGGTTGGTTCCTGCAGCTTCCATTTTGGTGTGCTTCATTATTAGGAAGACTTTTGCTAAGCAGTCTTTTATATTCCAATGACCTAACTGTATCAATTAAAAATCATTTAAATATACTTTAATGCATTCAAATATGGTAAATAAAAAATTGGGATTCAGATAATAGAAAAAGAACAATTAAGAAGGTATACTAAGCATACAAAGTCAAAGTGATCCTTAGGAAGAAAACGCTGTCAAGGGAAGAAGGATTTAGATACGCAAGAACACGTACATTCATCATTCCTTACATTCTCAATGCTTTTCAAAGTCTTCTGCCAACTGGCCTGAACAACCTGATTGATTATCCTTGCCACACTGCACTCAAATATTATCTCCAAACACTTTCAACTTGCAGCACATGTTAATAGTTAATATCTCTGGACTCTGGATGATCTTCTGAATAAAGTTTGAGAACAATGTGCTTACAGTGACAAGTATGATTGGGGAAAAACGAATAAATTGCTGATTAATACTGAGAAGAGCTCCTCTGAGCATAGTAGAACTGTGCATATTTAAGAGAGCTACTTGCAAATTTCCCCCAGACTACTCTAACAAAGCTGATTCTAGAATTCAGTACTATTTTGGGGATAACGGAAAAAACAATACATTTAAGACATGAAAACCTGGATGTGAATTTTGGTTCTGCTTAATCTTTTTAGAGACTCACTTCTTCAAATATAAAGCAGATAATCTTAGGTAGAATCTTTATGAAGATTCAAGGAAAACACAGTAGAGCACTGTTAGGGATCAGAACACACTACCTCCAAATACACACCTTGGTATTTGAAAAAACACCAGAACCAGGAAGAACTTCTCCCATACTTTTCCTCTGAAGTGGGTTAAATAAAGAATTCTCTTACTTTCCTCTGAAGCAGGTCATAAGACCCTCATCCTTACCTGTCCTTTCCTCTGGAGACAGACATAAAGAAGCTGAACAAACAGACCTTGCTAAGTTGCCCCCAGTTTATTACCATTAGATCATACCCCTTTGTCCTCCAATCATACTTCTCCATGACTATTCATCTCTTCATTAAACCTAACCATAAAAATACACAAGTACACAAGTTTACCCATTCTTTGGGTCTTCATTTCTGAAGCCTTCTGTGTCATGTAAAACTTCTACGTCATGTAAAACTTACAGAGGTCTCGTCATGAATCAAGCAATAGGTGAGAATCTTACCTCCTTTACAGCATGTAACCAAAAAGTAACTGGCCTATTATAGGCACCAAATAAATGGTAGCTACTTTTAGTAAAATACTATATAAGCTTAATTTCTTTACAGTTACAGGGCAGTTATGTCAATACTATTAGTATTATATCATTACTATCAGTATCACAGTGTACTAGTAGTAATAATACTAGTATATTCTATTCAGTATATTTATGATCTTATGAAATTGATTAAGGTAGGATCTCCAGATTAAGCAGACTTAAATTTTATTCTAACTCTCTTTAATTCCTCTTTCCCAGAGAATTAAGTAGCTTTTTCCCTGGTAGCTGCTGGTGTTTGTATTTTTTTGCTCTCCAAGTTGAAGCAAGAAATGTAACCGGGATAACACTAATGAAACACAACAAACAATTCAAGATGAATTTTTGAATGGTAGTTGGTAGACTGCATTCTATAGGTTCATCAATAGCTGTGAGAAACCAGAAACCAAAGAGATAAAATGGTTAAAAGAGGAAAAGAAAAGTAGGATTGAGCTAAAAAATGATGAGAATTTAGTTAAGCTGAAATAAGAGGACAAGGCAATACAGATATATGAATAACAACATGAACACAAGTTTAGAAGCCAGAATGGGAATAGTATGGGACAAGGAAGAAACTTTCTTAATGAAGTAAGTGAACTGTGTTGGGAAAAAAGAAATAAAGTTAGATGAATAGCATTATACTAGATTACTGAAAATCTTGAATGTAACAGTTTAGATATAATAGTCTAAGTTCAAACACATGAGATGAGGGAACAGAGTGGTTAAGAAGTAGATATAGGAATAACGTCTAAAATCACATCTGTGATTATTCAATATCTTTAATTTTAAAATTAGATAAAGATATAGAAAGTGAAATAGATTAACAAGTTCAGGTAATATATTTATAAAAATTTCCCGTTATTTTTAGTGTTGGCCAAAATATACTAGATAGAGGTACATGCAAATGCTGAATTTGAAACTGTTCTGAAAGACCTGGGTCAACTAAAGGTAACAAGCAATATTTGAGTATCTCTGTATAAAGATGAACAATTGGTAGCGCATAAAGGCTGAAGGGTACATAAAGCTGTTAGAAGTAAATCAAGAGAAGGGGAAGATAAGGAAGAGGAATGAGGAGATGAAAAGCAGGAATGAAAACAGAGATAAATATAGAAGATACTTCAAAGAAAGAACTGCTATTTGATAAATAATTAGACAGAATATAAAGAGATGCAATAATAATGATTCTGAGGTTTTAGACTTAAATAACTTAGAAAGATTTTTAAAGCCAGAAGGGAATTAGGATGTTAATATGTCAAAGTTGGAAAGGTATTTTGTAATAACTACTTTTTTTATTGTACAGAACATATTCTCTAAAAACTCAGTGCTTGATTTAAATTAACCTCATTTGTTATATTTTGAGTCTTAAAGTAAGTTCTTATTTTGGTCATTTGGATCCTTGAAAATTTAATGAATCATGCAAAATTCATTAATTTAGAAAATTCTTAAGAAAATATACAAGCAGAAAAGAGCTCAAAAACTGCTATTTTATAGCACTTTATTATATATTAATCCCATAGAAAGTTTGTTAAAAATGGAGATTCCAGAGCCTCCAGGTTGGTGAAAACTTTAAGATACTAGGAAGGTATCCATCTGGGAAGAAAATGCAAAGTGTTTTTAACAATCACTGGCACAGACCTGTTCTTCCATGTACTCCACCTGCCACTCTCCAATACCTTGCCCTATGCATCTCTTCCAATAAGCTATTTCAGAGTTGTAGCCGTTGTAATATATCAGTCAATGTTTCATGGAATTTGGCTGTAAACATCAGAACATAGTACCTTTCAGGAGGCAGATCTTCGAATCCAGCTTTAATGTTCTGATTAACCGTAAGTGCTACCAGAATACTCTAGCCTTTGCTTTTGACACTGAGGAGACCAACGAGAACCCTGGCCTATTATCTACTGTCTCCCTTGGATTTGTTCTCTGCATTTCCAAAGTGACCAACAAACTATGGACAGCCTCCTGATGTGGCACGCAGGAGGGTATGAGACAGTTCCTAATCATTCCTGTAAAGGAAGAATAGGTCTGTGGCAGTGACTATTGGGAACACTTTGGCATTTTCTTTCCAGCTGGGAACACTATGGCACTTCTAAATTTCCACAGGTGGCTTCAAGATTGGATGTGACAGAGATGGGATCTTCGCTTCACCCATGCAATTCTAGGCTACTTAACAAAAGAGAATTATGTAACCCATAACAACAACAATAACAAAAGATGGTTCTTGGTCCTCACCCTCTAAATATACAAGTTGAGGGTTTAGAAATTTAAATTTTGAATTCATTTCCTATGTAACTAATAATTCTAAAGCAGATGATCAATAGACCATACTGTGAAAACACGTTTACCCTGACTAAATTAATACAACTCCCACACTGAAGGTCGGGCAGAAAAAAAAAAATGCACCCGTGTAAAAAATATTTACCTCAGTATTTACTGTCCTATATAACATGCCTGGCTTTGAACCAAAAATTACAGGCATTCAGGGAAACATAGAATCTGAGGAGACAAAGCAATCATTAAACCAGAGTCAAGTACGACACTCAGTTCAAATGTTAAAACTGTATGACATAATCTTAGTTCAAACGTTAAACTCTATGAAATAAAATAATGATGATTAATATGGTTAAAGGGGCTGACGGAAAATGTAGAAAACGTTAAAGGTCAAATAGGTAATTTCAGTGAAGGGATTTAACTATGAGAAAGAATTACACAGAAATCCTAGAAATAAACAAACACAGTAATAGAAGTGAAAAATGCTTTTGACGGTATGATCAACAGTCTTGAAACAGTTGAGGAAATACATGGGCCGGGTATGGTGGCTCAGGCCTGTAATCCCAGCACTTTGGAAGGCCGAGGTAGGTGGATCACCTGAGGTCAGGATTTCAAGACTAACCTGACCAATATGGTGAACCCCTATCTCTATTAAAAATTCAAAAATTAGATGAGTGTGGTGTCATGTACCTATAGTTCCAGCTACTTGGGAGGCTAAGACAAAATTGCTTGAACCTGGGAGGTGAAGGTTGCAGTGAGCTGAAATCATGACACTGCACTCCAGCCTGGGCAACAGAGTGATACTCCATTCTCAAAAAACAAAAACATGAACCTGAATGTAGAACAACTGAAATTACTCAAAATAAAATACAAAGAACTAAGGAGTGAAAAAAGAAAACAAAATGGGCATCTGAGAGCTGTGAAACAGTATCAAACGAGCTAACATGCCCATAATAATTAGAATTTCAAGTGAAGAGAAAAGGTGGTAGAAGTAGTATTTTAAAACATAACAACTGAGAATTTCTCTAAGTTAATGGTAGAGACCAAACCCATATTCAAGAAGTTCAGAGAATACTAAGCAAGATGAGCCAACATCTCAGCATATCACATAGAAACTGCTGAAAAATCAAAGAAAACATCTTTAACAAAGAGAGGAAAAAAAGGACACATATTATTTACAGGGGAACAAAGATAAGAATTACATCAGACTTCTCTTAAGAAACTATGTCAGCAAGAAGACAATGGTATAACATCCTTAAAGTGCTAAAAGAAAATATCTGTCAATCCAGAATTCAAGACCTAGCACAAATATCTTTCAAAAAGGAATAATAAATATCTTTCTCAGACAAAAAAAACTGAAGGGTATTCACCATCTGCAAATTACCCTACAGAAATGTTATGAGAAGTTATCAGGAATGTGATGCATGTCAGGATCTTGGATTTATACAAATAAATGAAGAGCACTAAAGATAAAATAATATTCATTTATCTCTCTTATTTTTAACTTCTCTAAAAGATAAATAGTGCAAAAGTAGGAACATTTTATTGTCTGTTGTAACATATGTAAAAGTAAAATATATAACAACAATAGCACAAAGGATAGTCTGAAGAAATTCAGGATACACTGTTGTAAGGTTCTCATACTACCCTTGAAGCAGTACAGTATTACTTTAAAAAGATTCAGATTACTTTAAAAGGCATACTGTAAGCTATAGGGCAATCACTCAGAGAAATTGTGAAGAAAGGTATAAATAATAAGTCAAAAGAGGTGATACAAATCATAAAGAACATCCTATGAAATCTGCAAAAAGGCAGAGAAAAAAGAAATAAATGAAAAAATATGGAACAGGCATGAAGATATATTTTAACACAAATATAATTGCACATACGTTAAGTGGCAGAGCAAGGCAATATGTGATCTCTAAGTAACCTATTTTACAAATAAAGAGTCAGATTAAAAGTAAAAACATGGAGAAAAACATATCATGCAAATGCTAAGTAAAAGAAAGCTGGAAGCTATATTAATTTCAGAGAAAGTAAGACTTCAGGACAAGAAATATCAAGAATAAAGGGGGATACTACCTTAGAATGAAGGTGTTTTTTTTTTCCTCAAGAATAACAATCTGAAATATATGCACAATAGTGCACTGAATACATCAAGCAAAATGGATACATTCCAAAGAAAAAAGAGAAAACACAATTACAGTTGAGAACCTCTATATTTCTCTCTCTCTCTCCCCCCCCACTGCTTATGACAAAATAAGTAGGGAGAAAAACACTAAGGATTTTTAGTAGATGTCATATACATGACAAAAATAGCACCAAATAGGCAGCAATTTTGAAGGTAGGGGTATTAAACCAAAGTTTCTATATTTTACCAAATATTACATTAGTATTAATCTAATGTAAATTGTGATTAGTAAGATGCAAATTGTGATAACTAGAGCAACTAATAAGGAAAAAAACAAAACAAAATTAATAAATTTATATGGGACATTACAAAGTCACAAGGTAGTGAAAGACCACTGCAGAAATAAAAAGGGCACTCAGAAAAGAAATAGCAAAATGGCACCATAAATCAAAACAAGACATTATTTAAATCAAATGGGAATGGTCTAAACACCCCAATCAAAAGGCAGGAATTATCAGAATGAAGAAACAAAAAAATTCAACTCTATTCCACTTGTAAGACACATACTTTACATTCAAAGACATAAATAGGTTGAAATTTAAAAAAAGGTAGGAAGACAATATACCACATAAACAGTAACTAAAAGAAAGCTGGAATGGCTATGTTAATGTTAGACAAAATAGACTTTATGATCAAAACCATTATCAGAGACAAATAGGGACATTTCATAACGATAAAAGAGTCAATACATATCAAGAAGCTATAACAATTATAAATGTATGCACACCAAACAACAGAGCATACACCAAAAAAACAAAAACTGATGTTTTTTTAAGGAGAAATAATTAACTGAACAATTAATGGCTGAAAATTTCAAAACCACCACTTTGGTTGAGAAAATTAGGCAGAAATAGAAAAATTGCAAATCACTTGAACCAACTTGACCTCACATTTATAGAGCAATCTAACTAATAAAATCACATTATTGTCAAGTGCACATGAAATGTTTACCAAGCTAGAATATATTTGAAACTATGAAACCAGCCTTAAACTTAAAATGCAGATACTTGAAGAACCCTCAAATTTGGAAATTAAACAACACACTTCTAAATAATGCAAAGGCTAGGAGATGGGGAGATTTGTTTAAAGATGCACAATTATAACTAGATAGGAGGAGTAAGTTCTAGTGTTGTATAGTACTGTAGGATGACTATAGTTAACAATAATATACCATTTCAAATAGCTAAAAGGAGAATATTGAATGTTTCCAACACACAGAGATAATAAATATTTATTCTTTCTGAGATGAGAAATATGGATATGGTAATTATTCTGATCTGATCACCTTACATTACTTGTACTGCAATAGCCCTGTGTACTACATAAATATATACAATTATTATGTGCCAAATAAATAACCCAAAGGTCAAACAAAATATCAAGGAAAGCTATAAAAAATTACAAACTAGATGAAATTAAAAATTACAGGGCTAGTATATCTTAAATATATTTCTTCTGGATGTGCTTTATTGGGAGTAGTGAAAATTGGCGGTATTAATCAAGGGAATGTATAAACAACACAAAGTTTGTTACATGCTCTTTCTTCATTAACATTTCATCTCAAATGCTGAACTAAGGAACATTAAAAGCTCCTCTTGCACGGCTGATGTTAATTTTTCTCTCAAAAGGAGTCTTAACAAATGAAACTAGAGTGAAGAGCAGTTATCTGTCACTCTTTCTGCCTAATTGTGAACCTCCAAAATATCTAAAACATTTTCAAAGGGGAAAGAAATGCAGGAGGACAAGGGAATAAAATTGTGTTAAGAAATTAAGAATTCTGGCGACACTGACAACTGCTTTCAATAAATGAAATTCATATGGTTTTCAAAAATTGAAGTTATATGTATCTATAGGTATACATAAACACTTGTATATCTAGGAGGAAGAATGGAAATAAATACTTCTATTTTCCTTAAAAATGTCAGTACAGACTTATTCTAGTGAATCATGTTATTTCATAAGGTAAGATTGTTACTCTAACACATCAAACCAAAATACATACCCTTTTTAAACTGTAATTGAATGGGGAGAGAGAACTAGCAAGTCAATTTAATAAAGTAATCTCTTACCCCTAGGACCTCATATTCAAATTGGAATCCATTCATTCAACTAAATATGTCATGTACTCTACTGAAAACAAACAAAACTTGTTGCCTAGAATTCCATGTCAGTTGGAATATTTTATTCAGGAGATATCTTTGATGGGAAAAATCTGGGACGTCTCAGGTTAGAATTCAGGTATATTTTATAGAAATAAATGAGAAAAATTCTTACTATTTGAAATACTACATCTGAATCACTTCAGAATATGAAGGAGAAAACAATTAAAAAGTGCCAGTTATTAACTTAAGAGTCTACATAACAAACATGCTTCTAAATTTTAAAAGATTTATGATGAAGAAATTTGTTTTTATACACAGCCTTCATAATGAGGTAAAAGTATCTAATTAACAAACAATGCAGTAAAACTTGTTTTCTCATTTATTTTGACAAGGATGAAAACTGAACCTCATGTACTAAAGCAAAACAGAAAAAATAATCTGACTGAAAAATACCCATGTGTGTATACCATGACCTACTCAAAATATAGTCACTCTATTTTCCTAACAACTGACTTGCTAAGTTTTCCATGTAAGGCTCCATGTTATCAAGATTACTACACCAAAAAACTCATGTGGTAACGCAGAGTAATAGGTAATATGATGGTGTATACTACAGGAATTTTTAACAGCAAATACAAAAAATAAAAACAGCAAATGTATAATTAAATAGCTCAACATATTGTTACTTTTTACCTATATCACATACAAATTTTACTTCACATTCTTTTAAATTTATTATTTATTTATGTATTTAGTTTTAATGTTTTAAGAGATGTAGTCTTGTTCTGTCACATCAACATTCACCATAATTCTGTTCAGGAGGTAGAATTACAGGTCATATTTCTCTATTATTTATTTTCTAAAAGTTCTCTATTAATGGGGGAAAATGTAATACTCTGAAGCACAGATGATGCAGGGATTAAAAAAAAAGACATTGGGTCTCCTGAATAAGATGTAACTACAGTTAGAGGGTCTAAATGCTAAAGATGTTTCTGCTTCATCAAGCATTACTTTATTTGAGAAGAAAGTTTGTGGTTATTCTGATTTGACTCCTCTGATATTCAACTTGTATAATTTAGTTAACTGTAATAAGAAGAAACTGAGCCAGTCACGGTAACTCACACTTGTAATCTCAGCACTGTGGGAGGCCAAGGTGGGAGTCTGAGAGTCCAGAAGTTTGAGAACAGCTTAGGCAGTATAGAAAGACTCATCTTTACAAAAAAAAAAAAAAAATCAACTGGGTATGGTGGCGCATGCCTATGGTTCAAGCTACTTAAGAGGTTGTGATGGGAGGATCATTTGAGCCTGGGTGGTCAGGGCTGCAGTGAACCATGATTGCACTACACTATGGCTTCGGTGACAGAGCAAGACCCTCTCTAAAAAAAAAAATCCCACAAAGAAAATCCTCCAAAATTGCATAATTCAAATGCAATTCATGCAAAGAACCAAAATCTTGTGCTTATTTTTAAAAAGTAACTGACAGTTGTCACTTAGTAAGAAACACGACACCTAAAGGGCAAGTAGGAAATCTTTTCCTAAGGATTTATTCACACATATTCAGAGCCAACAGTTTCATTCTTAGTAACTTTGGTTGATGCAAATCTCTAAACCTAAAATATACAGGCTATATAAAAACTTGTAACTTACCTAGGTTTTTGATAGCTTTCATTTGATAGAAAAAATTTACCTTTAAACAATTTACTAATATCACCTCCCCACAAAAAAACCTTCACCACTACCACCACCATTAGTTCTATTAGATGGGTGAGTATAGAGTTAATATGACATTTAAACAAAGACTAACAAAAAACCAAAAGACAGAATCCAAAACCACCCCTAAATTATTACCCTGGAAAAATGACCCTTTTCTTCTTTTTGAGACAGAGTTTCAATTCTGTCACCCAGACTGGATTGCAGTGGCATGATCTTGGCTCACTGCAACCTCTGCCTCCCGGGCTCAAGTGATCCTCATGTCTCAGCCTCCTAAGTAGCTATGATTACAAGCAAAAGCCAATACGCCAGTCTACTTTTTGTATTTTTTGTAGGGACAGGCATTGCCATGTTGATTAGGCTGGTCTTAAAATCCTAGCCTCAAGTGATCCACCCACCTCAACCTCCCAAAGTGCTGGGATTACAGGTGTGAGCCACCGTACCTGGCCAACCCTTTTCTCTGTATTTCTAAAATAATGATTTGGACAGACAAAATAAAAAGAAAACAGAAGTATGTAAAAGCATAAATTTAATGTATAAAGGACAATCATGCACTGGATAAAATAATTGTTTTTCTCTATTCTAGAATGACTGGGAACCTGTTTTAACATAGTAGATACTCTGATGGAGAATGTAAAGTCTATATGATAATTGGGCTTTCCCTACCAGTAAGACCAGTGGGATCTCCATAAGGGATCTTATACTTTGTTTTGCTATCAATGACATTTCATGCTTTCTATTAGTAAAGGGAAAATCAGTTGTCAGATTTTAAAAATCCAGTAAAATATAAAGATGTAGAATTAGAAGATCTAAATTCTTTACAAGACAAAAAACTTTGAGGAAATAACAATACTAGTAATAAACAGGGATTCTTACTGAACTCTGAAGCTGCAAGGCTAATTTATTAACTGGGAAAGGTATGACTATTTTATTCTGTGCAGAATATAAAACTATTTTAAAATGCAAATACTCTTATAAGTCTCTTTATCAATTATGCATTTTTTTTTGAGACGAAGTCTTGCTTTGTTGCCCAGGCTGGAATGTGGTGGTGCCATCCTCGGTTCAAGTAATTCCTGTGTCAGCCTCTTAAGTAGCTGGAATTACAGGTGTGTGCCACCATGCCTGCCGAATTTTTGTATTTTTAATAGAGACAGGGTTTCACTACGTTGGCCATGCTGGTCTCAAACTACTGGGCTCAAGTGATCCTCCCACCTCAATTTCCCAAAGTGCTAGAATTATAGGCATGAGCCACTGTGCTGGGCCTCATTTATTCATTCGTATTAGTCGACATTTTCGTTCAATTTGCACCACTGTAGTCCTCTATTAGTACAAACATTAAGGATGATCATGTGAATACAGATTTGGTTGGTTAGCAAAAAAATGATAAAGGCATATCAGTATTAGTTGTGTAACTTAAATTATTCTTGGCTGCTACAAAAAAAATTATATACATTCAGTTGCATATTTGAATCTGACAAAGATATTTAGACAGTCCGTAATAAAATAATACATTTTACTTCCTATTTATCAGGTGGTAACACTACCAGTAAAAGTTCCATGAGGACTTTTTTGAGTCTTCTTAGCAATTAAAAGTCTTCTTAGCAATTAAAAAAATAACATAAAATAAGAATTATTGTATCTTCTAAAACAAAACATTTTGGAATGTAGCGAGAAATAAAAAACACTAAAAGCAAAACCAACTGCTACTATTTTTTTCTCCAAATCTCTGGTAATCAGCTCACAAAGATATGCTTGGTGAGTCATGGAGTCACTGCTTCAGATATTTAGGATTTAAAACAATAAATCATCAAAAAGGAACTGAATCTTGAAGTTGGATTTACTTTCTATACAATATATTCCCTAAAGCTTTCTACTTTTATTACAGAACCAAAGATCCTAAAGATAAATAAAAGAAAGAACAACTGCTTATTTAATTCTCTACAATGTGTAAACACTTTATCATTTAAACCAAAAGATTTAATTCATTTTCTGCTCTCATATTCATCTTTTAGTTGCCTATCACAATTCAAAAAAAGAATCTATATTTTCATCCCACTAATCTGCTTCTCTGCAGTTAAAAAAAGACTAATGCAAAGAGGCACAAAGTTAAATGGCTTCTTTACAGCAATTATAATAGACTGGCTTTTCTTCAATCTACATAATCAGATTATTCCAATGTTCAGCAGTAATAACCTTTTATTTTCCTGGGAATAGCTGATGTCAATCCTGATAGCTTTATTTGGGAAAGTGCTGAATAAAACAGAATTTAAGAAATGATAGAATAAAAGATTAAAAAGGCACAAACCCTATAGAGATCACATCAACATAGGAGAGTGTCATGAGAACAATAGTGGTTACATATGAGACTGTAGAAGTAAAATGTGAAGAGTATGTTTCTTTTCCCCAGATAGGATATTTTTAAATTAGTAAAAAAAATTTTTCTTAAGCAAATGCCATCCATTTTCTAAGCAAAAAATGCATATTTTTGCTGAGTTAATTCTGCTTTCAGTATTTGTTAAATATATTTTATTCAATTAGAAAATAATTATGTTTTTCCATTACATACACTTCGGCATACTAAACCAATTCAAATAGTATTCATCCAAAGCTTTTAAGTAAAGGAAATTATATCCAATATTCATTTTCCTTCTTTCCACTGCTATTATGAAAATTTGGTAGGGATTACCAAAAGATAAACATTAGAAACCAAATTCAAATCTCTTCCAATCTCAAAATATTCTGGACACTTTTTAGCATGGTGAGATAATAATAAAAATTATTGTTAGGTTAATGGCATAATTCAGAATACACTCTCAAATTAATATTATTTCTTTTCTTCCCATAAAAAAGACAGAACCAAAAACAACAACAGTAAGTGGTTTAAAAATTGGCATCAATTCTATGCTTCAAGATTGGCATATACAGAACAAACACTCTTTTAAAAAGGATTTAATGAGGAAGAAAAGTTAATCATTCTAATATAGGTAAAACTCTATTACAGAAATATAAAAATAACAATGATGAAAAATTTAAAACATCAACTAGCAGACCCCCATAAATCACATTTTGCTAATTTTATTATAATATTCACCATAAAGTATCTAATGCTACAAATGTTTTCCCAGAGGCTGTCCACACAGTAGTGGGCATTTAAGGTTAAAGAAAATTTATACTTCATATAATTTACTTAGGGGAAAAAAAATTAACAGGGTTGCCTCAGTTTTCCACCACTTTATTTCCTTCCTTTTCTACTTCCCCACCCACTCTAGTCTGGACAGAAGAGTGGGGCACTGAGGAGGAGATGGGAGTCTAGAAGTTAGGGTCCATGCTCAGAATCGTCTTTCCTTCTACTCCAAGACAGACAAAAGTTCATTCAGACTGGCTCTCTTTCAGTCAGAGAAATTTCCTAAAGTGTTATAAACCATCCAGTCAGAGCAAAGAAGAAAGGAAAGACAAAAGAAGAGAAACAGCATGGAAGGAAGGGAGGGAGAGAGGAAGGGAGGGAGAGAGGACGGGAAGAAAGGAGGGAGGGAGGAAGGGACGGAGGGAGGGAGGGAGGTCCTATGTTATATTCCCAGCATTCATTGAGGAATTTAGGATAAGAAATAACTTTATAAGTATAGGAAGTTAGTATATTTTTAGGAGTAGCATTTTTTAATTAACACAAATCAAAAAGACAGTATCTTACTTTTTTGGATTTGTTTCCTCCTGAGATAGGTGATGGATTAGCAGAATCTAACAGACATTAAGTAATCATAATCATAATTGTTTCTGCTAGCAGATGCTTAAGAACCATTTAGGTTTCTTGGTTAGAATGTATAACAAACTTCTTCCAGTGGCAACATGATTCATCTGTTCCCAAACATGATTGTTCATATAATTTCCCAAGGAGACCTGGGGAACTTTCCAAAATACAGATCTATATCCTCCTTCTTCCTTCCTCAATATATATATTTATAGGTCTAAAAATAGAATTGTTAATTATTTTTGAAAGAGCCCCAGGATTTTCTGATTATCAGTCAGTTTGGAGAACCATTCATATACATAAATTTTATTATAGACATCTTTTGCACCTTAATGAAAGCAGACTAGAATACAGTATTGCATGGCTTCTCAAATGTGGTTTACTTTTCCAGTTTATTGAAATCTGATGCTTTACACACCCCCAAAAGAATGTTGCTAGGAAGGGAATGATTCCTATCTTAGATAGTAAAACTTACATGAATTTGAAAAATAGATACACGTTAAAAAAAAAAGACTTGAGTTGTGAAATAGTCATAATGTGATGGAGAAGGGAAAGAAGAACATAATATAAATCTAATAAAAATATTAAGCCAATAATAAATGCCTATTTCTTTGTAGCTGCATACATTTAAAATTTTTTGTTGCTTTTGAAAATAGGCAAAATAGGCTGGAGATTATATCTCAAGGGGCAAAATGGTAATTTTGAAATAATTATATATGTACATATAAATGGTTCATGTCAGCAAAACTGCTTCTTAAATAGTAATTATTACCATTTAGTTTCAAGTGAGCCTATTAGATATTAGAAGTATCTCCCATCTCTACTTCAGCATCTCTTTGGTTCCAATTAATTACCATTTAATTAATTATACAACAAACAGGATAAAGGCCAAGCTTGAAGGGTTCTATCATTCATTACAAAAGTTATATATTAATTCTGCATTATGCACAAACATGGTGTGTAATTCTAGGGGCAATTAAAAATATACTAATAGCAAACATGCATCTCTCTTACTGTGTATCAGGAACTGTTCCAAATGCTTTACATGCATTACCACATTTTAGCATTATAACAACCCTAGCAGATAAGTGGCTACTATTATCAGCACTTTATAGAGATGACACTGAAGCACAGTATGGTTAAATAACTTCTTCAGCAAGGTCACACAGCTGGTAAGTGGGGAATCTGATAATTTCGACCTAGGTAGCCTCCCTCTGCTCTAACTGAAAATACTAGGATGTCTTTTTTCAAGGAATTTGCAGGTTACACGAACACAAATATAGTACAAGATAGTATATTAATTCATTCAGCAAGTACTTTTAAAGGCCAAGAATCAGGAGAAATTAAGGTAAGCAAAAGATCTGCTTAAGAACACAAAGTTTTAGTTAAATGCTTGAGAACAGTATTTCATTATATAACAAATATTTTTGTTAGAAATAAAAATAGAAGAAAATTTAATGATATAACTGAAAACAAAGGTGTTTTCTTGTCTAAGATAGTTATAACTCTACATAGCCAAGTATTATAGCATAGTTGATAGGTTCCCACGTCAAGTTCTGCTGCACTTGGTTTCAGAGAGGGAAAATAGGAAAGCTGTTATCCTGACCCCTAGCTCCCCCAACCCTAGAGCTACAGAAACTTTTAGTATGAATCTGGATGTCTCAAGCCACAACAGAAAATGTCTACCCTAATGACCACTGCTTTTTTTTTTTTTTTTTCCTGAGGATAAAGTATACTTTTTTGTGTTATTTCTGAAGAGCTAAAGAAGTAAGAAGTGTCCTTTATAAGTACTGCCTTTTACTATTAGCTATGCACTTAGGATTGGTGAATAGATAGGTACCTATGATATAGTTCAGAGCGGACAAAACAATAGGGTGCCTGCAGCCTCAGCAGAAGTTACTATGGACTCAGGGTCTACCCCCAACAAAAATACAGTATTATTATTCCCTTAGGAACAAAATCACTTAGGAACAAATATATTCATTTGTATACTTAAAACACTTCATATTTCATTCTAATAGTTTCAGATAAGAGTCATGTCATAGATCCACAGATATGGAACATATATAAGTTCCTCTACCTAACTCCAGTCTCTAGATAAAACACTGTTAATAAAAAAGATATGACTTTCATCTGAAATCTTTTTCTTTCCGCCTTCAGCATATCCTTTAAGGTTTTCTTTAGTGTCAGTTTGCTGACTGAAAATTCTTCAGGTTTGTTTTAAAATGTATTTATTTTACCATTGTCTAGATAATTTCACTGGATGTATAACTTTAGTTGCCAAATGTTTTCCTTCTCACACTAAATATCTGATTTCACTGCTGGCTTCCACTCTTTCATTGAGAAGTTGGCTGTCAGTCTAACTGACAATATTGTCTGTCTGCTTTTTTATTTTTTATTACACTTTAAGTTCTGGGGTACAAGTACAGACTTGCAGGACTGTTGAATAGGTACACACATGCCATGGTGGTTTGCTGTCTCCATCCCCCCTCCATCACCTACATCAGGCATTTCTCCCAATGTTATAACCTCTACACCCCAGCTATCTCTCCCATAGTCCCCCAACCTCCAACAGATAACAGTGTGTGATGTTCCCCTCCCTGTGTCCATGTGTTCTCATTGTTCAACACCCACTTATGAGTGAGAACATGCGGTGTTTGGTTTTCTGTGCTTGTGTCAGTTTGCTGAGAATGATGGTTTCCAGATTCAGCCATGTCCATGTCCTGCAAAGGACATAAATTCTTCCTGTTTTATGGATGCATAGTAGTCCATGGTGTATATGTGCCATGTTTTCTTTATCCAGTTTATCACTGATGGGCATTTGGGTTGATTCTAGGTCTATGCTATTGTAAACAGTGTCGCAGTGAACATGTGTGCATGTGTCTTTATAATAGAACAATTTATAATCCTTTGGGTATATACCCAGTAATGGGATTGCTGGGTCAAATGGTATTTCTAGTTCTAGACCCTTGAGGAATTGCCACACTGTCTTCCACAATGGTTGAACTAATTTACAGTCCCACCAACAGTGTAAAAGTGTTCCTATTTCTGCACATGCTCCCCAGCATCTGTTGTCTCCAGATTTTTAAATGATCGCTATTCTAACTGGCATGAGATGGTATATCTCAATGTAGTTTTGATTTGCATTTCTCTAACGACCAGTGATGATGAGCATTCTTCATGTTTTTTTTTTTGCCGCATAAATGTCTTCTTTCGAAAAGTGTTCACATCCTTCGCCCATTTTTTGATGGGGTTGTTTTTTTCTTGTAAATCTGCTTTAGTTATTTGTAGACTCAGGATATTAGCCCTTTGTCAGATGGGTAGCTTGAGAATATTTTTTTCCATTCCACTGGTTGCCGGTTCACTCTAATGATTGTTTCTTTTGTTGTGCAGAAGCTCTGGAGTTTAATTAGATCCATTTGACTATTTTGGCTTTTGCAGCTATTGCTCTTGGTGTTTTAGTCATGAAGCCCTTGCCTATGCCTATGTCCTGGGGCAGGGAAGGAAAAAAAAGGAATCTCTCTGCGGGAAGAGACAGTCTCTTCAATAAATGGTGTTGGGAAAACTGGATATTCACATGCAGAAGAATGAAGTTGCGTCTTTATCTCACACTATATACAACAATCAACTCAAAATGATTAGAAACTTAAACATAAGACTCAAAACTATAAAACTATCAGAAAACATAAAAGCTCCATGATAATGCTCTGGAAAATGTTTTCGCTACAACCCCCAAAAAGCAAAAATAGGCAAGCATGAATGCATCAAACCATCAATATAAAGCTTCTGCACAACAAAAGAAACAACAGAGAGAAGAGACAACATATCAACTGGGAGAAAATATTCACAAATTATACATCAGTTAGTGTGTTAACCAAAATATATAAACAATGCAACACCAAAACAACAAGAAAACAAACCACTTAAAAAATAAGCAAAGACCTGCATAAACACTTCTCAAATAAAGACATATGAATACTAAACAGGTATATGAAAAATTGTTCAACATGATTAATCATCAGGGAAGTTTGAATTAAAACCACAATGAGATATCACCTCATACCTACTAGAATTTCTATCATCAAAAAGAAAAATGACACCTGTGAAATAGGGCATGTTAAAAAAAAAGATGAAAGATAACAAGCATTGGCAAGAATGTGGAGAAAAGGGAACCCCTGTAACATTGTTGGTAGGAATGTAAATGAATACAGCCCTTATAGAAAATAACATGGAGGTCCTCAAAAAACTAAATATAGAATGGCAATATGACCTAGCAATCACACTTCTGGGCATTGAATCCCACTTCAATTTTAAAAGGGTTGAAATTAGGACACTGAAAAAACATGTGCACTCTTTATTCATTGCATTATTCACAGTAGCAAAGATAAGAAATCAACCTAAGTGCCTATCAACAAATGAATGGATAAGAAAATGTGTTAGGACACTGAAAAAACATGTGCAATCTTTATTCATTGCATTATTCACAATAGCAAAGATAAGATATCAACCTAAGTGCCTATCAACAAATGAATGGATAAAAAAATGTGGTATACAGCTGACTCTTGAAAAACACAGGTTTGAACTGTGAGGATCCACTTATATGCAAATTTTCTTCTTCTTCTGCCACTCCAGAGAAAGACCAACCCACCTATTTCTTCTCCTTCTCAGTCTACTCAATGTGAAGATAATGAGGATGAAGATCTTTATGATTCACTTCATTGAATGAATAGTAAATATATTTTCTCTAGTGATTTTCTTAATATTTTCTTTTCTCTAGTTTATTTCATTGTAAAAATATAGTATATAGTGTGTGTTAATCAATTTATGTTATTGGTAAGATTTCCAATCAACAGTTGGCTATTAGTAGTTAAGCTTTTGGGTCAGAGAATCAAATTATACCTAAATTTTCAACTGTGTGGAAGGTCAGTGCCCCTTTCCCCCATATGTCATTCAAGGTTAAACTGTATATAAATAATGAAATACTATTCAGCTTTACATGAACCTGAAGGACATTATGCTAAGTAAAATAAACCACACAAAGAAAGAAATACTGCATGATCTCATTTATATGAGGAATCTTAAAAAGTTGAACTCAAGGGAAATGGAGAATAGAATGGTAGTTGCCAGAGGCGGGGGATGGGAGTGGGAGGATGCCAAAATGTTGGCCCAAGGCTCTAAACTTTCAGCTAATTAGACCAAAAAAAAAAAAGTTTTTGAGACGCATAGCAGAGTAACTGTAGTTAATAATAGTATAATGGATATTTCAATATTGTTAAGAGAATATGATTTTAAATGTTCCCACTAAAAAAGAATCTGTATGTGAGAAGATAGATATGCTCATTCCTATGACCTTGAGAGAGAGAATTTAGGGTATTTGGTAGAAGAAATTTCTAAGTAGCAAAGTATACAAGAGGTGACCTGGGTGTTGCTAAAGGCATTCAGTTTCATAAGGGAAAGGGGGCACAAAAGTTCAAAAAATTTGCAGCCTCACAATGCGATTGATTTAATCATTTCATAATGTACATGAACATATCATATTGTACTCCACAAATACAGTTATTTGCCAAAAGGAAAAGAAATTGATGGTTTAAAGGAATGAAAAAGACTACTCTGATATGGTTTGGGTGTGTCCTCACCCAAATCTCATCTTAAATTCCCGTATGTTGTGGCAAGGACCCAGTGGGAGGTAACTGAATCATGAGGGCAGGTCTTTCCCAAACTGTTCTTGTGATAGTGAATGTGTCTCATGAGATTTGATGATTTTAAAAAGGGGAGATTCTCTGAACAAGCTTTCTTTTCTTTTCTGCTGTCATGTGAGACGTGCCTTTCACCTTCTGCCATGATTAGGAACCCTCCCCAGCCACTTGGAACTGTGAGTCCAATAAATCGCTTTCTTTTATAAATTATCCAGTCTCAAGTATGCCTTTATCAGCAGTGTGAAAATGGACTAATATAGTAAATTGGTACCAGAAATGGGAGGCTGCTGAAAAGATACTTCAAAATGTGGAAGTGACTTTGGAACTGGTTAACAGGCAGAGGTTGGAGAGATTGGAACCGTTTAGAGGGCTAAGAAGAAGACAAGAAAATGTGGGAAAGTTTGGAACTCCCTAAAGCCTTGTTCAATGGCTTTGACCAAAATGCTGATAACGATATAGACAATGAAATCCAAGCTGAGATGGTCTCAGATGGAGATAAGGAATTTGTTGGGAACTGGAGCAAAGATGACTCTTGTTATGTTTTAGCAAAGAGACTGGTGGAATTTTACCCCTGCCCTAGAAATTTCTGAAACTCTGACCTTGAGAGAGATGATTTAGGCTATCTGGTAGAAGAAATTTATAAGCGAAAAAACGTTAAGAGTGACCTGGGTGCCATTAAAGGCATTCAGTTTCATAATGGAAACACAGCATAAAAGTTTGAAAAATGTGCAGTCTCACAATGTGACAGAGAAGAAAATCCCATTTTCTGGAGAGAAAGTCAAGCTGGCTGCAGAAATTTGCATAAGTAACAAGGAGCCAAATGTTAATCCCCAAGACCATGGGTAAAATGTCTCCAGCGTTGTGTCAGAGGTCTTCACAGCATCCCCACTCATAGTAGGCCCGAAGGCCTAGGAGAAAAATGTGGCTTCTTGGGCCGGGTCTAGGGTTCCAATGCTGTGTGTAGCCTAGGGACTTGGTGTCCCATGTCCCAGCCACTCGAGTGATGACTAAAAGGGGAAAAAATAGAACTCAGGCCATGGCTTCAGAGGGTGCAAGCCTCAAGCCTTGGCAGCTTCCATGTGGTGTTGAGCCTGCATGTGTACAGAAGTCAAGAAGTGAAGTTTGGAAACCCCTGCCTAGATTTCAGAGGATGTACGGAAACACCTGGATATCCAGGCAGAAGTTTGCTGTAGGGATGGGACCCTCATGGATAACTTCGGCTAGGGTAGTGCAGAAAGGAAATACGGTGTTGAAGCCCTCACACAGAGTCCCTACTGGGGCACCACCTAGTGGAGCTGTGAGAAGAGGGCCATCATCCACCAGATCCCAAAATGACAGATCCACTGACAGCTTGCACCATTCACCTGGAAGTCACAGACACTCAATGCCAGCCTGTGAAAGCAGCCAGGAGGGAGGCTGTGCCCTGGGAGCCACAGAGGTGGAGCTGCCCAAGACCATGGGAACCCACTTATTACATTAGCATGACCTGGATGTGAGATATGGAGTCAAAGGAGATCATTTTGGAACTTTAAAATTTGACTGCCCCACTGGATTCTGGACTTTCATGAGGCCTGTAGCTCCTTTGTTTAGGCCAATTTCTCCCATTTGGAATGGGTGTATTTACCCAATGCCTGCATTCCCATCGTATCTAGGAATTAACTAACTTACTTTTGATCTTACAGGCTCATAGGGAGAAGGGACTTGCTTTGTCTAAGATGAGCTGCTGGACTTTGGACTTTTGAGTTAAAGCTGAAATAACACTCTGGTGACTGTTGAGAAGGCATGATAGGTTTTAAAATGTGAGGACATGAGGTTTGGGAGGGGCCAGGAGTGAAATGATATGGTTTGGGTGTGTCCCCACTCAAATCTCATGTTTAATTCCCATGTGTTTTGGGAGGGACCCTGTGGGAAGTACTTGAATCATGGGGGCAGGTCTTTCCCGTGCTATTCTCATGATATTGAGTAAGTCTCATGAGATCTGATGGTTTTAAAAAGGGAACACAAGCTATTTGTCTACTGCCATATGAGACATGCCTTTTACCTTCCGCCACGATTGTGAGGCCTCTTCAGCCACAACTGTGAGTCCAATAAACCTCTTTTTTTTTTAGTAAACTGCCCAGTCTTGGGTATGTCTTTATTAGTGGCATGAAAACTGACTAATACACTCTCTTTGTATTTTAGCTATTTTCAGCAATTTTACTGTGTTGCAAGGTGTGACCAATCCTACCACTGGCAGAGGTCATAGGATCAGATACAAGAGGCTTTAATCTAGCCCTCAGTTAGATTTATAGAAGGATACAGGATAGAATTTAGCACACAGTATCTTAAAACTCTTAAGGAGGCCAAACAATCATTCCCCCACATACACGAAGAGTACTCACTATTGCCAGAGACAGTTGAGATGCATGTGGTTTACCTCAATCCACAGATGTGCCCTGGTTACCTGCCAATCTTACACTATTCAATTTTCATAGATGTAGGGCCCTTATGCCAATTCAGAGTTCTCTCACTCAGTCCAGGTGTGATGTCGCAGGTAAGTTTTCTTAGTAAATTTAAGAGATAGCTAGTTCCTGGCATATAACATTCCATATTTCTCTTAACTCAGGATGTTTACAAGGAAATAGCGCTATAAGAAGTCGGACCCAAGGTCAGATTTTCAGGCAGGCCTACGTATGTTCAAAGTTTCAGTATGATGTTCTACCTTCAATCACACTGTAGATTTCTAGTCGTTCCTTCTCTGCAGTTGAAAGGCTTACTGAATCTCTGCCTTGGTATCACAGATCAACTGATGTTCTCAACAATAATCCCTTCTTTTTTTTTTTTTTTTTTTTTTAGTTCATGTCTTTTATTAAGTCGGTTATTTGTCTTCTGGTTTGTTAAAGCAGTAAGTCAGACAACATTTGCCACAATAATGTCTGTCAAAGTGGCTTGCCATAAACACTCCAGCACCACATTCATCAGAAGGGCATTCTCGACGAAGGCGACTAATTTTGCCATTCTCATCCACCTTGTAATACTTCAGGACAGCCAGCTTAACCTTCTTTCTCTTGTGCTTATTCTTCTTGGGAGTGGTGTAAGACTTCTTCTTCCTTTTCTTAGCACCACCACGAAGTCTCAACACAAGATGAAGAGTAGACTCCTTCTGAATGTTGTAGTCAGACAAAGTACGTCCATCTTCCAGTTGCTTGCCAGCAAAGATCAGTCTTTGCTGATCAGGAGGAATTCCTTCCTTATCCTGGATCTTGGCCTTCAAATTTTCTATCGTATCCGAGGGTTCAACCTCGAGGGTGATGGTTTTTCCCGTAAGGGTTTTCACGAAAATCTGCATTTTGGTGGCGGCCCCACGTGAGGCGCAGATGGCGGATCGAAAAGCAACAATAATCCCTTCTAATATTTGCTCTAGCTGCATTCTTTCTCTTGTCTCCTGGTAGGTCACCTATTGAATATGTTATAGGTTCTTACTTGATCCTTTATCTGCCATCTGTACTTTTCCATCATTTTGTCTTCCTATGCTTCCATGTGTGTATTTTCTCCTAATTTACCTATCAGTTCATTAATTCTTATTTTTAGTTTGTCTTCCATTCAACACATCCACTAATTCTTAATTTTTGTAATTTTTTTTCAACTCTAGAATTTTCATTCTAAAAATTATTTCCAGTTCTCAGTTAAAATTTTCAGTCTTGTCTTTCAAGTTGTACGCATAATTACTTTCAAGCTGTCTGATAACTCCAATATTTAGAGTCACAGCAGCTCTAAATATTGGAGTTACCAGACAATATTATTTTCTATAGCCTGTTGCTTATGCTGGTTTAATTCATGCTGTCTTATCTTTTACTGTGTCTATTTATTTTTGATTGTACCCTAGTTATTGTAGTTACAAAACTGAAAAAAAATAAGTTAAGCCCTTAGATTATCTTATCTTTGTTCAGAGAGGATTTAAGTTTGCATCCAGTGGATATTACCAATCAAGGGTCACTTCAATTCAATTTCAGAGATTGATATGCAGTTTAGATGCAATCGCTATGAAGGCTTATCTTCTACTGGTTTCCCCTATACTATATCCATTTGGGGATTAAAGTAGTCAACCATACAATGACAGGTGCTGAGCTCCAGTCCCTGCAACCCTGTGAAGCTAATATAAGTGCTTTCACCCACCCCACCAAAACTGACAAATGATCACAGGGGAAAAGCAGATTCAAAAGCCACAATCCTAATCTGGTCATTCTTTCCTGTATTTGTGTGCTTTCTAATGCTTTCAAATAGGTTCCTGTTTATAAAATACATACATTTGGTCCTACTTTTCTAATTCTACTTGGAGGAAGAGTTGGTCCAAATTTTCTAGTATGTCAATTAGCAAAACTGGAAATGGACCCAGCAATAGAATATATCTAATTAAAGTGAAACTATATCTGAAATTTGAATTTTAAAATTACATATCAAGTCAGAATTTCTTTGTCAAAAATGAAACCAACTAAGCATGTAAAAAGCTATTTTAAAAATACGATACTAACAATTCATGTTTATATAAATCAAGATAGTAACAAAAATTAGTTTTTCATACAACTTATGGAAAACCCTACACTTTAAAATGTAACAGTAAAGTTTAAGGCAACTTCTCTTTATACAACCCAGTAGTATAATTTTCTCATTAAGAAACTTAACATGCTTAAATATTTGTATATAAATGTATTTTATAGAGAGTAATTCTACTTTGAAATAGTATTTAATTAGAGGAACATAGAGGCCACTCTCCTTTACCTAGATCAATTCTTTTTCTTCTTATTAACATACCAGCTCAGCTTAATGTTTATCCAGCATATACTGCACATAATCAATAAAGAAGATGAGACAGTATATATTTTGGAGGAACTTCCAGTCTTATAGAAGAGATATAAAGAGAAAATATGATAATGGTTATAACTGAGATATACACTAGATGCTACGGGTCACAGAGGGACACAATGACACCATGACATTGCTCTATTACTGTGCATTTCAATCACTACCTAAAAATGACTATTGTCTTTGGTGACACATTATATATAAACTTAAAAAAAAAGTACATATCACACAGCAATTTATATTTTAAAACTTAATTAAACCCTGTGTATTCATAATGCATGATATGAGACTCCAAGGTGGAAAAAGCAATATGAAAACTTACCCCGTCTGGTAGTGCCCTCCAGCACACAGCACTAACAAATTCATTTGTATCATCTTCTTTTCGGTCTTTGTCCAGAACACTTTTGACTGTATCAAACTTAAAAGTTAGCAAAGTCTTAGAAAGTCCTTTATAGTACAGGTAGAGAGAGTTATTCTCACTTCCTGAAAATAAACAATAATAATATTTTAGAATAGGAAAACTTGGAATTAGAACATCACATTCCAATAGAAATTATCACCCAAAGTTTTAGGTCAAAGATCTTTTATGGGCAAATTTGAAAGGCTAGATCACAGGACTAATTAGAAATTATGTAAGAAAAGGATTCTTGGACAAAAGTATACTTTACTAATCTAAAGAAACAATCAGTGTTAAATGGTATAATAATATTGATAATTTTAAGGCTGAAATTACCCTATAAAATCATTTATAAGGTTGATGCAAAAGTAATTGTGGTTTTTGTCATTACTTTTAATTGCTTCTGTACCTACCTGATAATAAGCCTATAGTAGAATCAGAAATATGTTATTACAGCAAGGATCTTAAATTATATTTAGAAAGATTTCCATTTAGAGAGGTAAAAGGAAGTGGCAGCACTTACATAGGCAAATTTTAACAGCATACACAATTTATTTCCATTTCTCAGTATAGGAATTATTCTATTAATGGTCTATGAACTGTAATTTTGAGCCATCTATTAAGATAGGAGAATTGTTGCAGATATTTGCTTTGGCATTCTCATACATACTTGGAGAAAGTAAACTGTGCTGAATAAAGACCAAGTCATTTAAAAGTAATGATCAAAGCTCATATATTCACGCATTAGACATATCAGAGCATTCAAATATCAAATTTCATTTTTCTACTTCTTATTTAAATTTGTATAAATTATCAACAATAAAAGTCCTAGAATAACAGATCAATGCTAAGCAAATAGATTACTTCATGAAGAGAACAGCAGATAGGGAAAAATGAATATCAAGTTTAGAAGACATATAACGTCTCCAAAATTGGAAATATTATTCACAGAACTTAATCTTTTCTGTCTCCTAAACAATATCTAAAGAATATGTTATAATAGAGAACGACAGTAAAACAGTTAAAAATTTTGTGCTATTTCAGGTGTTCAGGGTTTGTACACAATAAAAAAGAGAAGGACTAATGCTCTTCTAGTACTACACGAGGAAAATCAATAGTGCTGGGGCATGAAGCCTATTATACTATCTTCTGAGTGCACAGACCTTTTCCTTAGTATTTAGTCTATTTCCATTGAGTTGAATTTCAAATACCTGTTAAAAAGTTCCTGGAAATGATGGTTTCACTTACCACAAGCTATATAATCTCCATTGGAAGCCAGGCCTACAAAGTTTTTTTCATTGATATGACCCTTGAAGGAACGTAGGCAGTATGGTTTCCCTACATTCCACAGTTTTAGCTGACTGTCTGTTGAGCTGAGGAAAAGTACAAAGAGTAAGAACATAGTTAAAATTTCTTGTCACGAAACTCAACACTGCTAATTAGAATCAATACAGTTTGCTCTGGAGCCAGACTGAGTTAGAATGTTCATCTGTTGACTAGGCATGGTGGCTCACACTTGTAATCCCAGCACTTTGGGAGGCTGAAGCAGGTGGATCACCAGAGGTCAGGAGTTCGAGCCCAGGCTGGCCAATATGGTGAAACCCTGTCTCTACTAAAAATGCATAAATTAGCTGGGTGTAGTGGAATGCACCTGTAGTTCCAGATACTGGAGAGGCTGAGGCAGGAGAATCACTTGAACCCAGGAGGCAGAGGTTGCAGTAAGCTGGGACAACACCACTGCACCCCAGCCTGGGTGACAAAGTAAGAATCTGTCCCAGAAAAAAAAAGCTCACCATGAAATCACAGAGAAATGAACATGTCAGTGTAAAAGCCAACCAAGTGATATTTAAAACCAAAAATAGTTCTATGACTATACTGTAAGTAGATAAAATATGTAGTATTAGTTGACTTTAATAAATAAAATACTTCTCATTCCATTCCATCGACTATGTTGTTTATCTCTTCTTGAGAAGCAATAGCTAAAATGTAATCCGAAGTTCAAATGCAATTAAACATATGAAGATTAGATAAGGGGGGAGGTATATAAATAGCTAGTATCTTCAGATTTTATCCACAAATTACACATAAAAGTGTGTAATACAGACCTGAACCCAAACATTTTTAATTGAACAAGACATCAAAAATCTACTATTTAAGAAAAGTACATATACTCCAATATTATAGTTTTACATACACCCTCAGTGACATTACAAACTGGTAAGTTAAGTACAGAGCTCTGTATTAAGCTCAACCTCTGAATAGAGTAATACTCACGCAGAGACAATTTCCTCACCACTCACAAACTTTGCATAAGAGACTGCTTTTCGGTGTCCTTTGAATACCATGATTGGCTGTTTAGTGTTACGAAGATCATAGTAATGGACACAGTGATCTAAAACAAAACAAAATTAGATAAATGCAGTAAATACAGAAATGGAAAGTAAAGTTAATTTTAACTGTTTTTTTTTTTCATTAAAAGTTTCACATATAATATCTAACCTCTAACAGCCAGAAAACTGGAAAAGAAATCCTTTTCAAAAAATAAGACTGGCTTTAAAAAGAGAGTAACAGGGGTTCAAAATAATAGACAACTTAAAAATCAATCTTTATGTTTTAATGGTTTCATTAAAAAATGTTAATATAAACATTGGGACATGTGGATAAACATAATGCTATATAATCTTATTTCCCACATTTGCCTTAAAAAACGATTATTAAGATATATTTTGCATATAATAAAATACACTTGCTGAAAATACTGTATGTAGTTCAACAGTCTTTACTAAATTTTACCAGCAGTTCAACCATCACCATAAATCAGTTTTAGAAGATTTTTGCATTCCAATTAAGATCACTCATTTGCCATCTACTGTCATAGGTAACCTCTATTCCTGTCTGTCTCTATAAATTCTTTATATAAATATTATGTAGCTTCTGTGTATGGCTTCTTACATGTTGCATAATGTTCTGATTTGAGGTTCAACTATTTTTCAATGTGTGTTAGCAGCTCTTTTTTATTGCTGAATGGTATCCACCATGTGAATGTACCACATTTTGTCAATCAACTAACTAGGTAATGAACATTTGTTTCCATTTTTTTATTATTATGAATAATGCTGACATGAAAAATCACAATTAAGTGTTTATGTGGACATGTTTTCATATCTCTTGGGTAGATACCTAGA